CCCACACCCCAGCCCCCAGTCCTGCCTGGGCCCCCGTGCCTTGGGCTCCGGGAAAGAGGTTGCATTCTGGGAAAGCGTTCACAGGAATCAGGACCCTGGAGGGTGACAGGGATGGACAGCCCGGCCAGGGTCTGAGCGGGAGGCCAGCCGCGCAGCCCAGGGAAGGCGGGTCACACAGCGCCCTGGACAGAGCGCCGCTGCCCGGCCAGGCAAGCCTGGCGCTGGCCAGCACGCGGGAATGAGGTCCCCGCCCCCGACTCCCCACCCTCGCCTCCCTCTGGGACAAAGGGTGAAATTCCGCCCAGGGGTTTACAGCCCACGACCTCAGGGCAGAAGGGATTCCCGCTGGCAGCCCTCTGCAGTGGGCTGGATCCACAAGCGAGGGAGGGGTCCCGGCAGGGACCTGGGGGAGGGTAGGCCTGGTGAGGCTGGGCTGCGGGCCTGGGGGGCAGCGGGGAGGGCATGGCCTGGCCTCTCCCCCCACACACTGGAGCTCCAGGAAGACCCGGATGCTAGGGGGGAGAGACCGGCGCCGCCCAACTGGGCTTAGGGCTGGAGACCCCAGACTCGGGGGAAGGCCCTGGCTGCACGGCTGACTGCTGCCCCCTGCCACCCCAGACACTGCCTCTCCAACACGTATCCTGGGTTCTAACTGTGTAGCAGGAAATTGTACAGTAGCCTTGTCCCAAATACCAAAGAATACATTGTATACTAAAAAGTGGGCCCGCTCTTTGCTTTGTAAAGAAGTTTCTCTTTTCAGTGCTGTGGCCTAGCCCTTAAAGCTGCCGCCTGCAGTGCCAGTGCCCGCATCCCATATGGGTGCCCCTTCAAGTCCCGGCTGCTCCAGTTCCGATCCAGCTCTCTGCTATGGCCTGGGAAAGCAGTGGAAGATGATCCAAGTCCCTGGGCCCCTGCGCCCGTGGGGGAGACCCGGAGGAAGCTCCTGGCTTCGGATCGGTGCTGCTCCGGCCGTTGTGGCCAGTTGGAGAGTGAACCAGCAGATGGAAGACCTCTTCTCTCTCTCTCTGTGTAACTCTTTCAAATGAATAAATAAATCTTAAAAAAAAAAAAATTGTAGCATGGCAGGTAAAGCCAGTTCCTGCAGCACGGGCATCCCATGAGGACACTGGTTCGAGTCCTGGCTCCTCTTCCGATCCAGCTCCCTTCTAACATCCCTGGGGAAGCAGCAGACGGTCGCCCAAGTCCTTGGGCCCCTGCACCCACACAGGAGACCTGGATGGAGCTCCCGGGCCATGGCAGCCATCTGGGCAGGAAACTAGTGGATACAAGATCTCTCTGGTCTCTCTGTAACTCTTTCAAAACAAATAAACCAATCTTTAAAATACAATGTTTACTTATGTATTTTCATTTTACTTGAAAGAGACAGAGAAAAATCTTCCATCTGCTGCCTGCTGGGATCTGGGGGCTCCAGCCTGGTCCCCATGAGGGCGCAGGATCTGCTTTCTTGGACTGTGTTAGGAGCGGCTGGAGCAGCAGACCTGGGACTCGCTGGGGTGGGGGCACAGGAGACAGCGTAAGCACTGGACCAAATGCTGCTCCAAGTAACATCTCTCTTTTCTGTAATGCTATGCATTTCGTATATTCGAAGGGCAGAGCGATAGAGGTGGAGGAGGGGGAGAGAGAGAGAGAGGCAGGTAGGTCTGCCACGCTCTGGTTCACTCCCCAGATGGCTACGACACCTGAGGCTGGGCCAGGTGGAGCCCAGGAGCCGGGACTCCATCCGGGCCTCCCACTTCGGGGCAGGGCCGCCTTCTGCTGCGTCCCCAGGCCATCAGCAGGGAGCTGGACCGGACGTGGAGCAGCCGGCACTGGCACAGATGCGGGATGTGAGCCCACTTCCAGAGAGCCTGCCCTCGCCTAGCTCTTTAAAACCTGAAATTGCCTCGCACCAGCGAAGTCAGGTGACCTGGGAGCAGCTCCAGGAAGCAGAGGGCCAGGGCTGCGGAGAGTGGACCTGGGGGCTGGCCGGGGCTGGCGGGGCTGGCGGGGTGGGCAGGGCCTCCAGGGAGGAGGCCAGAAAACTGGGTCTCAGACAAAGCAGCTGCTGCCCCGGTTCTGGGAACAAAGGCCAAAGCTTCCGGGCAGCCCTGGAGTGCTCAGGGGCTCTGGGAGGGCCAGCAGGGGGCAGGAATTCCGCCCTACCCGCCATTGTTTGTGCAGCCTCCTGGCCTCATGTCCTGCACGTAGCCACTGGCTCCCTGCAGGCCTCCAGGGGCGGCTGGGACACTCCAGGCCCCTGCTCGCTGCTGCCCCTGCCAGCGGCTCCTCTGGCCTCCGCCTTCTGTCCAAGGCCCTCTGTGCAGCCTTGGGCACCCCGGGCTCCATCCACCCCTTCCTGTGGCCTCTCCTGTGTCAGCCCAGGTGCCGTCCCCAGCACAGAGCCACACGGGAGCCCCTGCCCCGGTCACTCACGTCCCCCAGTGTTCCCTGGAGACTCACTGGTGCCCACACTTTCCCCTGAAAAGCAGCCCCATCTCCAGGAGCAGTCAGTCGGCCCTGGCTAACCGCGAATCCCCCTCCCGTCCCTGTGGGGTCCCCTGTCATTGGAGCCCCTGTGTCTGTGTCTCCACGGCGTGGCCGTGGCGTCCTCGGGCCCCTCGGTCACTGCAGGAAAGGCTGTGGAAGCCGTGGGTTCTCGTCTTCACGCAAGAAAGAATTCAGGCGTGAGACAGAGAGCGGAGTGCTGAAGCTTTACTGGGGACAGGGCACCCGTCAGAACACTGGGGACAGACAGCGCGCGCGCCAAGTCGCTGGGACCGGGGGAGAGTGAGGTTCCGTGGTTGAGTGAACACACCTGGGCAGCCCAGGCGGGCGGGCGGCTCAGCAGAGAGGCAGAGGGCTCCCGAGGTGCTTAAGGAAGTCTGTTTACCCACCTCCCCTCTCCTCCAGGACAAAGGACAAAGGAGAACCCTGGTGGAAGGGTTTGTTGGGTGAAAACTAGCAAATTCCTCACCAGATTTGCTGGGGCCAGGCAAGGCAGAGGGACTTCCCTTGGGGCGTCTGAGAAGGTTTTATTGCCCCGTGTTATCAGGTCAGGTAACCCCTGTGGTCCTGAGAGAGGAGTCTCCTGGGGGAAGGGCTGGGAGTCCGAGCAGGGTCCGAGCAGGGCTTCGAAGTGCAAGGTGCTGGTCTCCAGGCTGTCCCTACACACAGAGGCTGCCTAACACCTCCACACTGTCCCGGGCCAGAGCCTCCCGGTGCATGGTATGCATGGCCCTGTTCCTGTCGATGGCCTGTGACCCCAGGGTTAAGCAGTGGCTCTGCCCTTCCAGGCACCACTTCGTGTCCCCAGCGGCAGGGTGCAAAGGCCCAGCCCGCCCTGCCCCCCGCTGGTCAGACCTGCTGACTGGCTGAGGACGCCTGTTCAGAGCCTTCGTAGACTTCGCACAGGTTTTACTGATTTATTTGAAAGGCTGAGTGACAGACACAGAGACATCTTCCATCCGCTGCTTCACTCCCCAGATACCTGCCACAGCCTGGGCCAGGCGGGAGCCCAATCCCGGTCTCCCGCGTGCGAGGCAGGGCCCCCGGGGACCTGGGCTGTCACACAGGGCTGATGGCAGTGGCATGGAGTGAGGGGACGCCACAGCCCAGGTCGGCGTGCCTGGGGCACACCCCGCTTCCTGCTCACCCACCACGCGGCGCCCATGCCCGGATGGAGCTCCCGGGCCCCTGCTCTGGCCCATCCTCACTCCACCCCTGCCACTCGTCCTTTCAAATAAATAAAATACAACTGAAACAGCAGAGAGCGAGTGCTTTCCGGGTGTACCTGCTGGCGGGGATGGGGGAACCCGTTCTCTTAGCCGAGGAAGAATCCTGAAGGCAGAGGCGTGGCCGGCCAGGCAGCAGCAGAAGGGGCAGGCAGCCCAGGGGAGGAACGGGTGGACCCGCGCCCGCCACCCACCCAGGGAAGCCGATGCCGTGCGGCTACACAGGGACCGCAGCTCATCTGCACCCAGACTGCGGACTGTGCGGCGCTCCTCCCTCCTCAGCCACAGGTGAGGGGTGCAGGAGTGACGGAGGAGGCATCCGCCCCAGGTGAGGGGTGCAAGAGTGATGGAGGAGGCACCCGCCCCAGGGGAGGGGTGCAGGAGTGATGGAGGGGGCATCCGCCCCAGGGGAGGGGTGCAGGAGTGATGGAGGAGGCATCCGCCCCAGGGGAGGGGTGCAGGAGTGACAGAGGGGGCACCCGCCCCAGGGGAGGGGTGCAGGAGTGATGGAGGAGGCATCTGCCCCAGGGGAGGGGTGCAGGAGTGACGGAGGGGGCACCCGCCCCAGGGGAGGGGTGCAGGAGTGACAGAGGGGGCACCCTCCCCAGGGGAGGGGTGCAGGAGTGATGGAGGAGGCATCCGCCCCAGGGGAGGGGTGCAGGAGTGACGGAGGGGGCATCCGCCCCAGGGGAGGGGTGCAGGAGTGACGGAGGGGGCACCCGCCCCAGGTTCCCCGGCTCAGCGCTGTCCCGCGGGGAGCCCACGCAACCCCGGGCACAGGACGGCCTCCTGTCCAGTACTGGGCCTGGGCGGGATCCCGCGGGGTAGAACTCGGGGCGCTTCCCCCGAGGGCTCAGGGGCTCCCCCGACTCCTGGCCCTCCCCAGGCCGCGCTCGCACGCATGCGCCGACGCCTAACTTCCACCCCGACTCCACGGCACCTGGGCGCGCGCGCGGCCTGCGGCCCTCGTCTGGGTCGTGGGGGGTCCCAGCGCCGTCCCCAGCAGGGGTGCGGCAGGAACGTGCGCGTCTGAGCGCGCACCCTAGCCCCCGAGCCCTGCCCGGGGTCCCCGCTACGCCGCGCCGCCCCCGGGGTCCCGTGGCCCGCCCGGAGTCACGTGGCCCGCCCCGGCCTCCGCAGCCTCCGCCCGCCTGTCCGGCGCCCGCGTACGTGCGTGTGTGCGCGTGCGCGGAGCGCCCGTAGCCCCCACCACCACCACCGTGCGCGCCCCGCCCCCGGGGCACCGCCCTGCGTGCGCGCGCCCGGCACGCGCGCCCGGCCGGTCTTATAGGGGCCGTAGCCGGCAGCGGGCACGGCGCTCGGTGGACGGCGGACGGCGGGGACATGGCGGCTGTGCTGTTCGCGCTGCTGGCGCTCGCGCTGCTGCGCGCCGGGGGCGCCTCTGCGGCAGGTGGGCGCCGCTCGGGGGCTGCGGGCGGGGGCTACGGGCCGGGGCGGGGGGGCTACGAGCCGCCGCCGCCCCGGGGGTCCCGGCCCGGGCCCTCGTCGGGAGGGCGGCCACCCTGCAGAGCAGGGCCCCGGGTCTCGGGGGCCGCCGTCCCCCTCCACGGTGCACGCGGCCGGGGCTGACCCCCGCGTGGGACGCCGCTCGTGGCCCTCGGCTGCAGTCCGCGGCCGCTGCCCGGGCAGGCTGGGCCCCGGGATTATCATTCCTGCGGGGATTTGGCCGGCGGCGCGCCCGCGTTTGCGGGGTCTGCGCGGGCGTGCGGGCCCCCTCCTCCTCTGCCTGTTGGGGGTGGGTCTCCAAGGTCACCGCGAGGTCGCCCAGGCCGCTGGGGGGAGCCCCGCGTGGAGCCCCAGGGCCCGGCCGGGAGCTCCCGGGCCGCTGCTGACCCACTTCGGCGGCTTCCTCTTCCCGGTCCCCGGCCTCGACCGAGCGCGGGGGGCGCGAGGGAGCCCCAGGCGGCGCCGGGTTTCCTGCGGGGCCCCCGCGGAGCGCGCTCTGGCCCTGCCGGGCTTAGTCGACCGTACCCCGGGGCCGGGGGCCGTGCGGGATCTCAGCCCTGCGCGGAGCGGCGGTGTGCGTGGGCGCACGGTGCGTGGTGGGGTGTTGCTTCCGACTTGGCTCCCGGGCGCCTTATATGGGTGTTCGGGTCTTGCCCGTGCACGCTTCTGCTCTCTGTGCGGGGCCTGGCCGCGCTGGGTTGGCCACCTCCTGTCCCCCCGGGTCGGGGCCTGGCCAGCTCTGTTCTCCAGGCGCACAGCCGCGGGCCCCCGCGGGGGTTAGCCCAGGAGGGCCGCACTCTGGCCCGCCCCGAGCAAACGCTTAACCTCTGGCCTCCGGGGGAGGCTTGGCTGAGGGTGGGGCGGCAGAGGCGAGGCCCCCAGCGGGTGGGGCCCTTCCCTCCCGAGCGGCCCCGCCTTAGGCTGGGCTTGTTTACCGAGGCCGCGCCTGGCCCCCTGCCCGCCTGGCCGCTCTCTAGTGAAGGTGACTTGAACCTGAGTTGCAGATCACGTGGGCCGAGTGGAGCTGTGGCTTTTCTGAGACTGACCCTGGGGCTGGATGTGGCGTGGACTGGGGCGGCCAGGGGCCTCACCCCAGGGAGCTGGGCCACCAGTGTCCCCCTGACGTCCAGCTGCTCTTGTCGGAGGCTGCGTCTGTCCCTTGGGGAGCGCCAGGTGGTGCAGACCTGTGGAGGGGCGGCCGGTTCCCCACCTTGGACACCGGGGCTGGGACAGCTGCGGCCAGGCTAGTACGGCCTCTCCCGGTACCTGCAGGCGGCCGGGGTGTTCGGGGGGCACCTCGGCTTCACTTCCTGCCTGACTCAGCTCTGCCAGGGCTGTGGGATTTGCAGCTAGGGGTCCTTCTGCTGGAGGCCACCTGGGCTGGTCCAGCGGCCTCCAGGCGGGCCAGGGAGGCAGGTGCCTCGTCCCCAGGGCACCTGGGGCCGGAGCGTCAGGACCCAGGGGAGGGTGGACGGGAGCCCCTGCCCGCCCCTGTCCGCCTAGGCAGTGTCCAGGACCCTCTGTTGTGTTCAAATAAGGAAGCCGATGATGGCCCGGGTGTCCGTGCCAAGAGGGCCCTGCGCCCCTCACTGTCCCCACAGCTGCCTTGTTCGCAGAGCCCAGCGCCCGTCCCGTGACCTTAGGGGCTCAGCCCTAGCTGGACATGCGTGTGCTCCCCCTGCCCTGCCTTCCGTGGGGGCAGCCCGCTCCTGTTCTGCCGTGGGGGCCTCACGCTCTCGCCCTCTCCCCGTAGCTGGCTTTGTGCGGCCCCCACTGTCGCAGGAGGGGCGGGCGGGGGGCAGCGTGGAGCTGCACTGTGAGGCCGTGGGCCGCCCGGTCCCCGAGATCCAGTGGTGGTTTGAAGGGGACGGCCCCGGCGACGGCAGCTCCCAGCTCTGGGACGGCGCCCGGCAGGGCCGCGTGCACATCCACGCTGCCTACCGCGAGCACGCGGCCAGCACCGTGTCCATCGCCCAGCTCAGCGCCGAGGACGCGGGCACCTACGAGTGCCGGGCCAGCAACGACCCCGACCGCAACCACCTGACCCGGCCGCCCAGGGTCAAGTGGGTCCGTGCCCAGGCCAGCCTGGCGGTCCTGGAACGTGAGTGGCAGAGACCTGCCTCAGTGTCCCTCTTGTGCCATCGGCTCCCACCCAGTAGAGCCCAGGCCCTCTCCTGCCCGGTTCTGTCCCTCCCACCCACCTGAGCAGTCTCTGGCCTGGATGCGGGTGGGCCCCTCGCCCCCGTCCTGTCCGCCCATGCGTCCATCGCTCCGACCCGCTCCATCCGTGCTCCCTCCCTCCGTGGGCGCCTGTCTGGCTCTTGTCCTGGTCGGTGGGGCTGGGTCTGCTCCCTGGGTCAGCCCAGGTTCAAGGCTCTCCGGACCTCCCATGGGAACGTGCTCAGCTGACCGTGAGGCCGCTGTGTCGAGCCTGGGGTAGAGCGGGGCGGGGCGGGAGGTGTGGGCGTGCTGCAGGGCTGCTCCTAGCCTAGCCTAGCCGGGAGCTGATGCCTGGGCCACACCCCTGTGCACAAGGGCCCTCTGGAGGGCACCCTCTGAGCCAGGCCTCGGCGTGGCGGGGGGCCGACCCCTCCTCTCCTGCCCCTTGCTGACCTCTCGCCGTGGTCTCCCAGCGGGCACCGTGACGACTTCTGTGCAGAGCGGGGATTCCTGGGTGCAGCTCACCTGTACCTTGAACACCAGCGCCGCGGGCGTCACTGGGCACCGCTGGCTGAAAGGGAAGGAAGTGGTGAAGGAGGACCAGCTGCAGGGCCTGCACACCGAGCACAAGTGAGTGCGGGGGCCGGGGCCGCCCAGGCGGACCCTCCTCCTCCGTCCTGGGGGCTGGGGCAGGGGGCCAGGTCTCAGCCCGGACCCTCCTCCTCCCTCCCGGGGGCTGGGGCAGGGGGCCAGGTCTCAGCCCGGACCCTCCTCCTCCCTCCCGGGGGCTGGGGCTGGGGGCCAGGTCTCAGCCCGGACCCTCCTCCTCCCTCCCGGGGGCTGGGGCTGGGGGCCAGGTCTCAGCCGGACCCTCCTCTCCCCTCCCGGGGGCTGGGGCAGGGGCCAGGTCTCAGCCCGGACCCTCCTCCTCCCTCCCGGGGCTGGGCAGGGGGCCAGGTCTCAGCCCGGACCCTCCTCCTCCCTCCCGGGGGCTGGGGCAGGGGCCAGGCTCAGCCCGGACCCTCCTCCTCCCTCCCGGGGGGGGGGCAGGGGGCCGGCGTCAGCCCGGACCCTCCTCCTCCCTCCCGGGGCTGGGCAGGGGCCGGCGTCTCAGCCCAGACCCTCCTCCTCCCTCCCGGGGCTGGGGGCAGGGGGCCAGGTCTCAGCCCACCCTCCTCCTCCCTCCGGGGCTGGGGCAGGGGGCAGGTCTCAGCCCGGACCCTCCTCCCCCTCCCGGGGCTGGGGCAGGGGGCCGGCGTCTCAGCACGGACCCTCCTCCTCCCTCCCGGGGGCTGGGGCTGGGGGCCGGCGTCTCAGCCCAGACCCTCCTCCTCCCTCCCGGGGGCTGGGGCTGGGGGCCAGGTCTCAGCCCAGACCCTCCTCCGGGGGGCAGCCCGGGGTCCTGCACGAGCCCCTCCACGGGCCCAGGCTCACAGCCGCTTGTCTTGTCGCAGCGTGACCGGGGACGACAGGTTTGGCAAGTACTCCTGCCTCTTCCTCCCCAAGGACACGGGCGAGGCCACGCTGACCGTGGACGGTGAGCGGGGGTCATGCTGGGGGCCTCGGGCGGGGCTCCTGCCGCGCCTGGGGTGCGAGGCTCCCTCTGGCTCCCCCCAGGGCCCCCCAGAATTAAGGCTGTGAAGAAGTCGGAGCACGCCAACGAGGGCGATTCGGTCACCCTGCTGTGCAAGTCGGAGTCCTTCCCCTCCGTGACCGCCTGGGTCTGGTACAAGGTGGCCGACTCCGGGGACCAGGTGAGGGCGCGGGGCAGGCCAGGGGGCGGTGGGGGGCCCACGGGGCGCCCTGTGGGGCCGGCCTCAGCCTCCCCCTGCCTCCTGCCCCCAGGTCATCCAGAACGGCTCCCAGAGCAGGTTCTTCATCAGCCACTCGGAGGCCCAGTCGGAGCTGCACATCAAGGACCTGGACCTGACCTCCGACCCCGGCGAGTACGCCTGCAACGGCACCAGCCTGCAGGGCACGGACACGGCGGTGGTCACCCTGCGCGTGCGCAGCCGCCTGGCCGCCCTCTGGCCCTTCCTGGGCATCGTGGCCGAGGTGCTGGTGCTGGTCACCGTCATCTTCATCTACGAGAAGCGGCGGAGCCGGATGAGGTGCTGGACGGTGAGTGACCCCCAGGGGGCGCCACGCCCGCGCTCAGGCCCAGCCGCCCCTCAACTGCTCTGCAGGGCCTGGGTGTGCCCAGGAGAGGGAGGGGGTGGGGACGGGGAAGGGGGGGCAGCACTGACCCCTGACCCTGCCCTTCTCTTCCACGTGGCTGTGGTGCTCAGACGAGGACGCCGGTGCCGCGCCACTGTGAGTCCCGCTGTGGGGGGGGCACGCTGCAGGCTCCCTGTCCTCAGAGCTCAGCTGGGCCCTGTGGGAGTTGGGGGGGGGGGGCTTTGGGCCACTCAGGGGCCAGGCTGCAGGCCCTGTGGGGGTTGGGGGGGGCTTTGGCCACATGGGGGGCCAGGCTGCAGGCTCCCTGTCGTCAGAGCTCAGCTGGGCCCTGTGGGAGTTGGGGGGGGGCTTTGGCCACTCAGGGGGCCCAGGCTGCAGGCCCTGTGGGAGTTGGGGGGGGCTTTGGCCACTCAGGGGGCCCAGGCTGCAGGCCCTGTGGGGGTTGGGGGGGCTTTGGCCACATGGGGGGGCCAGGCTGCAGGCTCCCTGTCGTCAGAGCTCAGCTGGGCCCTGTGTCTCCAGGAAAAGCAGCGGGCACCACGTGAATGACGACAAGGGCAAGAATGTCCGACAGAGGAACGCCAGCTGAGCCGGCCGCTCCGGGTTGGGGTGCAGCTGCGAGGAGCTGAGCCCTGCCCACCAAGGGTCCGCCCAGGGCTGGAGGCCACACCCCTACACCTGCCTGCTCCAAGGCTCCGCCCAGGGCTGAAGGCCACACCCTTACACCTGCCCTCCAGGCCCTTGTGGGGGGGGGGGACACCTGCCCTTTGAGGAAGGTCACAGGAGGCCCGGCCTCCAGCCTGTCTGGCCACGCCCTGCGCTTCCATTTTTATTCCTGGCTTCTGAGGGCACAGGACAGCTGTGGGGCCTCAGCTGCCCGCAGGGTGGCAGCCTCGTCCCCCAATAAAGACTGACCCCACCCGTGCACTGTGGCTTTGTCTGCCCCCAGCTGCCCCAGGCTGTGGGGGTTGGGGATCCCAGGCTGGGGCGGGTAGGAGGACTGTGTTGGGCCCTCTGGTCCCTGGAGGGAGGGACAGTGACCACCCTTGGAGCCCAGGCCCCCCACTCCTGCTGGGGATGGTGGGGGACTTCCTGCCAGGCTCAGACCCCTCCCCCACTCCCACACATGGGAGGAACTTCCTGCCAAGCACAGACGCCCCCCACACACGGGGTGGATTTCCTGCCCGGTGCTGGCCCCCCCAACAGGCTTCCTGGGCACGTGGCTGTGGCGCTCTGAGACCTGGTGCCCCCGAGTCCCCTGCAGGGGCCACCGGCTGGGCCAGGGCAAGCGTCCACTTCGGCCCTGAAGGGTACTGTGGGTCCCCAGGACCAGGGGGCCCGCCGCAGCTGCACAGATGCTGGAGGGAACTTGGGGAGCAGGGACTTGGGGTGAAGTTTGGCTGTGGTGGGGGCGGTGATGTGGGGCCTCGGGCCCTCAGCCAGCCTCTGCACCTGTCCCTTGGCTGGCCAGCCCCTCCCAAGTTCACTGGGAAGCCGGAGATCGGGTCAGACAGGGATAGGAGTTCTCCGTGTTGGAGGGATGCCACGCAGGCTGAGGGTGGATGGTGCAGTGGGCTCTGCTGCCTGGGACGCCAGCGTCCTGCGCCCTGCTGTCCTCCCAGCTCGGGCCTGGGGCTGCTCTGAGATGGGGGCTCCATTCCCATTGTCCCCAGAGCCCTGGGCCAGGTGCGCGGCGGGGGCCCTGGAGGAACGCCAGGCTTGGCTGGCTGAGGTTCTGCTTGGAAATCCAGACCCAAGCGGCCAGCGCGGCCGCCGAGGCCCCGCGCTTCCTCCTGGCAACCACCAGAGGGCGCCGCGCACACACCGAGCAGGCGCGGACCCGACAGGGAGCCCTGTGCGTCTCCCCGGCTCCCAGCACGGACTCAGCACCACTCTGTCCTGTCCGGGAGCACCGGCTGCCGGATGCACCGTGGTTTGCGTCCCTCTGGCTCGCCGCCGCCTCGGGTGGGCAAGACGGGTCCCCTCCTGCGTTTGCTGGGCGAGGGGCAATCCTAGGATGCTGGCTTGGTGCGACCAGGGGTCCCACGCACAGGCAGAGAAAGGCCAGTCCAAGAGGCGACGAGGGGCATCGGACGCCCGTCCCCCGGGTACCCCAGCTGGCTGCAGTGAAGGCGCCAGAGGCACTGCGGGGCCTGCACCTGCCCCTCCGCGTGCAGCAGCCTCGGGGCGGGGGCACTGGGGTCCCTGCCGCCCACTTCCTGGCTGCAGCCTGCCTAGCCCTGGCTGTCAGGCTTCTGAGGAGTGAACCCGTCTCTGCCTGCCTGCCTTGCAAATGAAATGAAAATACCAAAACTTGAAAGTTTTTCCTCTTAATTTAAAAACCTTGTCACATGGCCATGCTGCCGGAGGGTCCGTGTTCCTCCAGGAAGCGCCTGCTGTATGCCCCCCGCACCCAGGCCCTGTCGCAGCAGCTGGCTCACTGGGTGCTCAGCAGGGGCGCCCAGTGGGCAGAGGGGCAGGGCTGGGTGTCCAGCAGACAAGGCCCATTCATGGCGGGAGTCCGGCGGGCACAGCAGCTGGCTGCCTGCCTCTCCAGGGCGCAGCCGCCCCTCCCCCAGCACCCTGCAGTGGAGGCCCTGGGGGCCTGGCACCGACATCCTGGGGACGTCCCTTAGGGCTGGAGCACACCGGGCGGTGGGAGGCCATGCCCTGGCCCCCGGCAGAGGTGAGGGGTCACCAGATGCCCGTCCCCATGCTGCAACCCCCAGACCTGGGGCACAGCAACTGAGGGAGCGAAAAGACCCAGGGAGTCCAGCGCCGGGCAAACGGCAGCCGCACCAGCCTTGTGTGGGTCACGTGTGTGCCTCGTGTGTGTGTGTGTGTGTGTGTGTGGACCAGCCGGGAGCTCCTCCGTGGGCCCCGTACCTGGCATGAGCCACGCCCCCTTGCTAAGCAGGAAAAGGGGGTGCAGCTGCTTCGCTGGCTGCCTGGCGCCGGCCTTCCACACGGAAGCCCTCAGGTTCTCGGCACGGATGGGGGAGGTGCGAGCAGACCGCAGGACGAGGCCGGCCTGCTCGGGGCCCAGTGGGCAGGCAAAGCGGCCTGAGGGAGGGACCGGGCAGCCCCCAGAGACGATCGACGTGGCCCCCACCCTTCCCCTGCCCCCATCACCCCCCTGCGGGGCCCAGGACCTAGACCTCTGTCACCCACGCAAGGTGCGACGAGGCCTCAGGACTCTGCTAAGGCCACGCCCCGTCCAGAGCACCTGCTGGCCCCTGACCTGCATGGCCTGCTCAGTGGGTGACCAGTGACAGGGCAGCACCCACCTGGCTGTGCGTCCTGCCTCTGCGGCTCCAGGCCCAGGTGTTGAACCTGCATCTGCAGCCTAAGTGGACGGGGCGGTGGCCCGGCTGGGGGCACAGGCTGTGGTGACAAGAACCTGGTGACCTCTGGGCCCCTGCTGTGGGCATGGCCCGCCCTTGAGCTGGCCATGTCCACCTCCCCTGGTGCCCAGATGCGCCTCAGGGCTCTGGCAGCCGGCCCACCCGGCACATCCCCATGGTAGACATACAGAGCCCACCTCTGCTGGGTGGGCCGTGGCACTGCCAATGCCACCACCGAGAGCCGCCTGGGAGACAGCTGCTCTGTGGCCGGCACAGAGTCCCCAGGGTGTGGGGCAGTTCGGCAGGGCACGGGATGGCACGCCAGCCCGCACACCCTCTGCACCCGGCCGGCGTCTACAGGTGCAGGGACCCCTTGAACCTCTGCCCTTGGAAACAGACCCCAGCAGGTACCACCTTGGTGGCCCAGCAGGACCGCAGGTGGCGGCGGGGGGGGCTCCAACCTGCTGAGTGGCAGACCCCTCACTGCCCCTTCCTCACCCACTCTGGGAGTCGGGGGTGGAGGCCAAGGTCACTGGGGTCCCTGGCTTCAGCCCCAGAGGCTGGGAAGAGGGGGGCACCCAGGGGCCGAGCTCTGGGACTCTCTGGCCCCAGCACCCCGTCAAGGTCCCCGCTGGACTCCAGCGCACCGTGTGGGGGGGTGTCTCCAGAGCCCGTGGTGGCCACGACCGCCACCCTCGTCGTGCTGGACTCTTTCTCGCTTCCCCGCTGCGCAGGTCCTGGGGAAGGGGAGACACACGGGACCCCCAGTGGCCTGCCCTCCCCGCACGCCTCAGAGGTCTGTGCCCAGAGCGCGCCTGATGGCCGCGAAGAACGCACTTTTGTGGCGGAAATCTGCGGGCCGAGCCGTGACCTTGGGCTTGTCCTTCGCTCGGCCGCGCGGGCCTCAGTTTCCCCTCGGCTGCCTCCGCGGGCCCGGGGGCCGCATGACCTTGGGCGTCCGACCCCCCCGGCCTCAGTTTCCTCCGCCAGGGCGCGGCGCGCGGGCAGGGGGCGCGGGCAGAGGCGGGGCGACCGCCCCCGCCCCGCCCCCGCGGTCGAGACTCCGCCCCCCGCCGCGCCCCGCCCCGCCCCCGCGCCCCTCCCTCGGGCTCGGGCCGGCGGCGGCGGCGGCCGCTCCGCTCCGCACTGCCCGGCGCCGCCTCGCCATGGACGCGCGCGGGGGCGGCGGGCGGCCCGGGGAGAGCCCGGGCGCGACCCCCGCACCACCGCCGCCGCCGCCGCCGCCGCCGCCCGCGCCCCCCCAGCAGCAGCCGCCGCCGCCCGCGCCGCCCCCGGGCCCCGCGCCCCCAGCGGAGCCCGCCCGGCCCGAGCCCGCGGCCCCCGGGGCGGCGGACGAGGGCGGCCCGCGCGCCCGGCTCCGGAGCCGCGACAGCTCGTGCGGCCGCCCGGGCACCCCCGGCGCGGCTAGCGCGGCCAAGGGCAGCCCGAACGGCGAGTGCGGGCGCGGCGAGCCGCAGTGCAGCCCCGCGGGGCCCGAGGGCCCGGCGCGCGGCCCCAAGGTGTCGTTCTCGTGCCGCGGGGCGGCCGCGGGCGCGGGGCCGGCGGATGAGGCGGGCAGCGAGGAGGCGGGCCCGGCCGGGGAACCGCGCGGCAGCCAGGCCAGCTTCATGCAGCGCCAGCTGGGCGCGCTCCTGCAGCCCGGCGTCAACAAGTTCTCGCTGCGCATGTTCGGCAGCCAGAAGGCGGTGGAGCGTGAGCAGGAGCGCGTCAAGTCCGCGGGGGCCTGGATCATCCACCCGTACAGCGACTTCAGGTAGCGCGCGCCTGGCTGCTGGGCCCCTGGGTGACCTCCGGCGCGCCGGGACGCGCGAGGCTCCGCCCTCAGGGGCCCCGGAGCGCCCCCTTCCCCGAGCGCGTCAAGTCCGCGGGGGCCCGGATCATCCACCCGCCCGGCGACTCCAGGTAGCGCGCGGGCCGTCCTCGGGGGGCGCCCTCTCCCCCGCGCCCTGTCGCAGGACGCGGCGGCAGAGCCCGGGGCTGCGCGCTGAGGACGAGTGGAGGGCAACGCGGCCTTCCAGGAGGAAGGGAGGGCGGCGGGGAACGGGGTTAAGTGGGGCCCGCGGGCCTGAGCGGGGCGGCGCGCGGCGTCTCCGCGAGCCGCGGGAGCTGTGCGGGGTGAAGGTGGGCGTGTAGCCGCCGACGCGAGTGAGAGCGGTTCGTGCGCGCCCAGGCGCCGGGCCGGGTCCAGAGCTGGGCCGCTGTGAGTGGCGTCCTCTCTCCCCGGGCGCGGGGCTCCGGGGGACGCGGGCCCGGTGGTGCGGGAGGCGTGCGCCGGGTGTGTCCGGGCTGCGTGCGCGCGTGCGGGGTGAGTGGGGCGCCTCTGGGGCTCTCCTGGCCCGCGCTCAGGGCGCGCGCGACTTCAGCACCGCGGACAGCGCCCGGGCCCGCCGCGCCCTCCGTCCTGGCTGTCCTCGCCCGCGCCTGGGCCCACCGAGCCGGGATTCTCCTCTGCTCCCGGACGCCCCCTACCCAGGCCTGGGGAGCAGGGTCTGTGGGACCTTCTGGTTCCCGACCCCTCCCCACCCTCAGTGCCTGAGAACTGCAGGCTCTGGGGTCCAGG